TTCGAGAACTGGGTCGGGCACATACTTGTAGTACGGGACCTCAGACTCAACAAGCCGGTATTTCAAAGCAAGTTGCTGATGGATAATCTTGGCCACCTGATTATGTCTGTGCAAGTATTCGCCATTAGCCAAACGACCACAGCCGGAAATAATATGTCTGATGGATTCACCGGAGCTATGACATGCCCGACATATATCAACCGTCCCATCCTTCATAATATATTTCCGGTAGTTATTCGTGAGGATAACTTCGTCCATAATTGCACATACAAATCCTTCAGTTTCTCCGAAGAGGTTACTGAATCGTAGCCAAGCTACGGACGCTAGAAAATCTATATCGGGCCCGTGGAGAGCCCGAAAGAAGCGTCCGTGGAGCTCCTTGCTACTCCATACCGCCTTGCGGTCATTGACGCTCAGTACTACGGGTTTGCACCAGTTCTCTTTAGCCAAGGATAGTGGTGTGAATCCCTTGTCCACTGTGACTACTTCTCGATGCATATCCTCGTCCACTTTCAGGAAATGTTCCCTGAGATTGCACACCTCACGGTTGTGAAGGGTCTTAGCGTTTAGAAAGCCTCGACCCCCACACTTCCGCGGGATGTACAACCTCATGACTGATGAACGAGGATGATGCATTCGATTTGCAGTCAGCAGCGTCCGGACTCGTCTATCCAGGGTGTCAAGTTCAGTCTGAGTCCATTTGAGTATGCCAAAAGAATACATCAGGACCGGCATGACCCAACCGTTAAAGGCGCGTACCTTGTTGCCGCCTGATAACGAACTTTTCAGTACCTTATTCAGGCGGCCAAAGAAGCGCTCCTGTAAAGATTGTTTCATGTGCGGCCCATTAATACCCAATCCTTCCGACATACCCAAATACTTGTAGGTATCATTTGCGGAGAGTGATCTCAGTTTTGTGAAATCTGACAGCTCTAGACTTTCAGATTCCACTATCCCGCCTCGCTTTACATGCATGACCGCACACTTATCAACACCAAACTCCATTCTGATGGAACTACTAAAATTTTTAGTTATTTTTAGTAGTTCCATCAGCTCCTCCTTGTTTGGTGCAAACAACTTGAGGTCATCCATGTAAAGTAAGTGAGAAATAACGTGACCTTTTCTCCGCAAACGATAGCCCAGCCCTGAAGCCTCAAGTAAAGTACTGAGAGGATTCAAGGCCAAGCAGAACCATAGTGGGCTCAGACTATCACCCTGGAATATTCCTCGCACTATCCTTACAGGTTCTTCACTCCTTTGGATTTGCTTACATCCTGGGTAGGAAAGCACCGTGCTCCACTGCCTCATACATGACTGTAAGAAGGTGCGCAGAGTTGTATTAATTTTATACAACTCCAGCACCCTCATAAGCCATGTATGTGGTACGGAGTCATAAGCCTTTTTATAATCTATCCAGCATGTAGACAAATCCTTTCGGGATCGGCGAACCTGCTGGCTAATGACCATATCAATGAGGAGTAGCTCCTTAGTTCCACGTGACCCCTTTCTACATCCATTCTGAGAGACAGACATGATGGCATTTTTTTCTATATGTTTTGTAATTTTTGCTCTCAAAATGGATGTAAAAAGTTTATAGACCGTTGGTAAACACGTAATCGGTCTATAATTTTTGGGTTCAGTGTAACTACCCGATTTATGGAGCAGGTGGGTAATTCCTGTAGTCAGAAACTGAGGCAACGATCCAGCTTCTAAGGCCATCTGGAACTGCGACGCTAAGCGATCGTGTGAACTGGTAAATGATTTCAGCCAAAAGTTGTGCAGTCCGTCCGGCCCCGGTGATTTCCAATTGGGGACCGAACAGGCTGCATTGGCTACATCAGAGGAGGTAATGACTACCTCCTCCATCTCTGGTTATTATTATTATTATTATATAGGTATGTTGTGTTAAGATATGTGCATACGTATATCACTATATAGTATAAAACAAAGTCGCTTTCTCTGTCCCTTTATCATTAAAATTATGTATGCTTACAACTTTAAAATACGCAACGGATGTTGATACGGTTTTTTAATATTAAAGAGGCAATGTTATAATTATCTATCTATGTAATAACTACATGTATTAAATAGTGGACAAATATATTTCGTATCAGCTTGAAGATATATTAATTTCCAAAATTAATGTTTTCCGAATGTTTTTAATCCTCAGCATCCCTCCATCCCTCCGCAATCCTTGAATCCCCAAATCCTCTTGTCCCCATAATACAATACGTTGAATGCAACGCACTAGCGATTTCCTCAGGTGTTGCGGGTGTCAATGGTCTGCTCGTTAGCCGCCCCTATTATAAAAAATACAAAGCCAAAGTAATATTAAAAATGTGAAAATAACTCTGTCTATCTTTTCTTCAGGCCTAAACTACTAAACCTATTTATGTGAAATTTGGTACAGACATAGTATGGAACTCGAGAAAGGACATAGAATAGTTTTTTAACCAAAAATCTGCAGAAAATCACTATTAAACGCAAACAAACTCGCGGGCAAAAGCTAGTTAAAAAAATATTGTAAGTGAATTGTAACAAGAACGTTCTTCAACACAAAACCACGGATACAATATGACATATGTATTAATAAACAATTACAACACATAAACAATGTGCTATTAAATAAAATCAATCGACACACTTTATTGTATCCCCGACAGAAGGAATCTCTGCCTCCCCTCTCCCCCCCTTTCAATCTATTTCCTCCGTATGAACGTCAGACAAATTAGTTACATTAGACTAAGGCGGGTCCTATCACGTATTGATTAAAAGAAAGAAATATCATTTATAAGATAATGCTGTAATGTTACAAGGGAATTGATTTTGGAAGTTATAATAATACTAGCTTTTGCCCGCGACTTTTTTGACGTGGACTATTAAATTCCTGCATATTTTTGTTATAAAAACTATCCTATGTCCTTTCTCGATTTACAAACTATTTCTGTAACAAATTTCACAGAAATCGGGTCAGTAGTTTAGTCGCGAAGAAAAGACAGACAGGCAGAGTTACTTTCGCATGTATAATAGTAGTTGGGATGGTAATCCCACTTATAATATAGATATACTCACGCGAAATATTGTATGTAAGGATGGACGTATCTTACTCTTTCACGTAAAAATTAAATTTTGCGTACAAAGGTAATTGGATATTAGGAGAATGGGGAGGGATAGGAAAAATTTTTTTTTTTGTTTTATGTGATAGGTCGGCAAACGAGCAGACTTTAATGGTAAGCATTCTGCGCCGCCCATGGACAACGGAGGAGTTACGAGTGCGTTTTTTTTTTATTTTTTTATTTAATAGTTCGGCAAACGAGCTGACTGATTACCTGATGGTAAGCAATCAGCACCGCCCATGGACACCCGCAACGGAGGAGTTGCGAGTGCGTTGCCGACCTTTTAGGGATTAGGGATTTGGAGATTTAAGGATTGAGGAGGGATTGGGGGAGGGGAAGGATTGGGCCTCCGACCGCCTGGGCCGCCTTTGCTCACACGGAGAAAATTTAAGTATTAATCACAACGCTTGTTCAAGGCTGATTGGCGATTTCAAACTTATACTACGATCAATGCAGCCTTGACTAAATGTCTTATAAAAAAGACGATTCGAAAAGGCAAAATAGGAAGGCTTCCAATAGTTTGTTTGAACGCGCTAATCTCCGGAACTCCTTTTTTGTAAGGAGAAAATCATCAAATGACTCTTCCATTAAATGATGACGGAGTGTCAGGCTCTTGCTAACTAAGAACCACCCCGTTCCTTCTCCTGCTCTAGGCTGAGGTTGCAGCAGCAAGCGCAATGAGCCATCATTGCGCTTACTCTGCAACCCCGACTAAGCCCCGTCTATGTGTGTGCGTTTAGTCCACTTGGGTCATTCAGAACAAATGGAATATTTTATAACAACCAAAAACTGCAATTTCCCTTGCCTCCAATATAATTCACTTCTCTACAACAGTACAGAACACAAAACTTGACGGTTCTAAAGAACTTGTATTAAAAATTTCAAAATGTCCTTTAAATTTTCACGTAGATGCGAAAAGCAGTGGTGTTCCACCTTTTTATTACTAGAGCTGTAAAAAGACGGACGAAAGCTGTTTTTTACGAGAACAAGCGAGTCCTCGCGACTTTGTTCGCATGTAAATTGCAAGTCGTTGACGCGATCTGAGATTGAAAAAGGGGGTAAATTTACAAATGGCATTTTTAGTGCAAACCACAAAAACAAGGGATGCACTAGAACTTTTAAATGTTAATTTTGTTGATTCATTTATTTATTTCATAGATACAGTACAAAGTACAAGACAGCAGACAAATGATCTTGAAAACAAAATAACAGTGCTATTGGGCAAAGTAGATACCTAGTTAAATCCAAGGTTCAGTTATAACTATATACCTTCAGACTTCAAGATATGAAAACATAACATTATATAAAACTAACATAACTAAAAAACAGTGTGTCTTGACACTTTTACAATTTCTGAATAGCCGATATAACCAGATAGAAAGGCCACATATTAATAAATGACACTTATTTGGATTTTTTATTAACAGTGGTAAAAAAAGAGTCTGCACGATATGGCGTCATCGCGAGAGAGAGAGACAGAAACCCATAGCATAGATAATATTTTATTTTCGATTTTAATTCCACCAGCTCCTACATTTTCCAGAATCTTTTCTACGCTCTATCTTTAAAATGAAAATATTATTATATATTTTGTTGTTTACAGTACCGTATAAAAATAATATTTAGTATCCCGTTCTCTTCTATGCTTGAAATCGGGATGCTAACCCGGATATAAGTAACTTTATTTTGTAATTTGCTGTGCCCTAGAAGGTCCATAATGATCTTAATACTTAATACACATATAATAACACCTAATGTAACATTATGGAATGCAATAAACATTTGAATTTGAATTTGAATAACTCTAACGAAACCACGGGCAAATACTAACACTTATTACTATATCGTGTTATAGTCATACTCCTCCTCCTCGCGTCGGTTTCCTCAGTGCTGAGGGTCGTGACCACCTCGTGGAAGCAGTGTACTGCGTATTACTCTCCGCCATCTATTTCTATCTGCCGCCGAGTGGAGAGCATCGTGGACTGTAGTCTTGAGAGTGGTGCGAATCTGATCCGTCCAGCGTATCGGACTTCTGCCTCTAGGTCTCTTTCCTTCCACCTTACCAGTGATTAGTAACTTTTCCAATTTATCATTACCCCTTCTGGCAGTGTGTCCAAAAAACTCCAGAATCCTGCGGAGGCATATATATCGTGTTATAGTCATACTACCTTTATTGAAATTACGATTGCTGCCGCAGTTGTCGCCTGTACCGACGCAACAATATCAAGTTCCGGGTTTTAATTCGAATCGACACAAAGAGTCGCGTCGCGTCGCGTCGGTCGGATTTCACAATGTCGCGTCGGCTGCAATCGTGCCCGCTCCCAACTTCACGCTAATATTGCGTTCGCTGGTAAGTAGAGATATTAAATCCTTGTACCGTCGACGTTTGAGGTAAGGAAGGCGTTGTCGAAAATTTTTATTTATTGTGTACAATTTTGTCATTGCGTTTTTTTTTTTGAGATAGGTGGGCGTTCGAACTCATAGACTACTTGATGGTAAGCAATCGGCGCCACCATTGGGGATTTAGAGATTTTTGGATTAGGGGATGGGAAAGATTGGGCCTTCGGTAACCGCACTCAGATGGCAAAACACAACGCTCTGGTTGGAGCACGCTGGTTTTCTATAAAACTGTGGTATCATTCTGGTCGAGGTCGACGAATAGGTCAGCCATTCGTGCCGAAGTTTTGGAATATTTAACGTTTGCGTTTTAAAATTATTTAAGGAACATATTTTAAAGCATACGTTATATGTCGCATAATACAATTACGACAAAAACCCATATCGAGTAATATCCAGATGTTTGATAAAGAAATTCTAAACTCTTTTTCAATAGTATATAAAATTGAAACTAACAATAAAATGGGATTAAAAAAATTCAACACTACAAGTTTCGAGCAACCAGCTCGTTGCGTTTGGATCAAATTCGGATGTTAATGCATCAATAGGGAGCCTCGTTAAATCCAATTACGATATGTCTGCATCAGTCTAACATGTACCTAGCTCAGCTCAAACAACTTCTATTTAGATTCGTGTCGAACCTTTTTCTCATTTGAACAAATTTTCTCGATAAACTTTAAAACATGAATTGAAAATGTGTGGTTAATCGACAGATTCTACATATAAATACCACTGGTCGTCCTCATAAAATAATTTATCATTATTTTCGAGCTTGGTGCAAGAGGCAGCTTGGACATAATAGTTTTACCTTTGGTTCGTGGCAAGTCGAGACACAATAGATGAGCGACGCCATTCGTTCGCTTGGAGTTTGATTAATTAAAAGGTTCATATTTACACGTCTAGGTCATCTGTACTAATATTATAAAGAGGTAAAATTTTGGTGTTTGTAAGTTTGTATGTGGGGGGTAATCTTTGGAACCGCTGATCGGATTGCCAAAATTCTTTCACTTATAGATAGCTACAATATTCCTGAGTGCTATAAGCTATAAGACATCACGCTACGATTAAATGGAGCCGAGCAGCGGGTGAAAGCGCGCGAGAGAAGCTAGTCGCTCATAAAATCTGAAGGCTAAAGTGGCAATGGGCAAGCCTCATCACTCGGGAAGCCAGATAGGTGCGACCACGAACCGAAAGACGTTGCGTGAGCAGACCTCCTCTCTAAGTGAACCGACGACATCGTCAGAGTGATGGATAGTCAATGGATGCAGATGGCGAGTTGTCCTTTGACATGGCAGACTGAGAGAGAGGCCTATTTCAAGTAGTGGACGTCTCCCGGCTGATGATGATAAGGATCTAGTGGATCTGCCAGATCTGTGTTTACAGTGTAGTCAGCACTAATTACACCAACAGAAAGAGTTAGGATGGTGATAAAAATAGATTTTGTGACTACTGGTGTTACATGTAACCATAGGCTTCGCTAATCACTTACTATCAGGTGATCCGAAAGGAATAGGTAAAATCTCTTTCATAAAAAAAAACAACTTCATATGAACAAACAAAATATTTACGCCTTTCAGCTATTTCTCGTATTTATACCGAACATTATAACCGGCCATTTGCAACGCAGGCAGAGTGCGCTATAAAACAATAATAATATGTTATCACCCGACTTCGGCCTCGTAAACTAGGACATAGTTAACTCAGCACTAATTTAATGTATGTATAGACGAAGTCCTGGTGGAAGGGACTGTTGAGGCACACCGTATCTCATGCATCAAACACAAGAGTTCGAAACCTGGCATATATCAATAAGACTTTTTCCAAGTTATATGTACTTTTTAAGTTTGTTTTGACACCACCGACATACGGTGAAGGAAAACATATCGAGAGAAAACCTGCAGTCATAACTTAAAATTGTAGGTTTTAATTGAGAAATCGAATTGCAGTTTCAATACTTTTGATCCAACATTTTCTTTTCAATGCACTAAAATTTCCCAAGGGTCGATTTTATCTAACGTGCTCTTAATTCGACTTTTACTATACAAACCAAACATAAGCTATATATGGCTCTCAAATGGGTGATTGTATACAGATATTTAGAATTTAAAGAGAGACATGTTGTCACGAAATGGCTTTTTTTGTGAGGGCAAAATCATCAAATGACTTCTATATAGTGTCAGACACTTACTGACTAAAAACCCCCCTGTTCCTTCTCCTGCTCTGGGCCGAGGTTGCGGTGCCTCATTGTGCTTACCCCGCAATCCCGGCTGAACATCAACTCTATAGGGTTCCGTCTATTGTCACGAAAAGGCTGGCGTACTCAGATTGAAACCACCGTAGCTCACAAAAAACGGACGTGAAACAACGCTTCAGTTATTTTACCAGAGTCCCAATCAATCAAAACTTTTAGTTATTCTTTTAGGCCTGTTTCTTTGTTTATGTACCCACTATGAATCATTATCAGCCTGAGTCTGCCCATAGCTTGGCATAGGCCTCTGGTTGGGCAACTGACTGCCGTGCAACGTGTCGCGGGTTCGATTCCCGCACGGAGCAACTGTTTGTGTGATCCACAAATTGTTGTTCCGGGTCTGGGTGTCATGTGTATGTGAAATTGTATGTTTGTAACCGCATCCACGACACAGGAGAAAATCCTAGTGTGGGGCAACGTTTTTTCAGACAAAAAAAAAATGAACTCGATGTTCAGGTCTTTTTATCCAACCACTGCCATCCACTCTGCGGATATCGTCAGTCAACCTAGCTGGAGGGCGCCCTACACTACGATAAATTTGAATATAGAATGTTATTTGTATAAACTATCTGTCACAAAATTGTATGTATGTGAGAACTGGAAGGTGGTAAAACAGACTTCCTAACAAATCTGTATCGATAATGCAATCGTACAAATATCAGAGAATTAATTTGTTGATCACGTGACTTGGAGATGACCTTAAGAAATCTTACATTTGTTTTATTTCTATAACGATAACGATTATGAATACTGAGCTTGGCTAAGAGACAGGCTCTAGACTATATTTCTTCTATTTATTATTTTTGCTAGCAGAAAAATATTCACTCCATACATTATTTTAAAATCCATGTCTATATTTTTGCTTTGCTTTACCCGCCAAACGAGTTTTCCGAGCCAAGCCGGTCTTTAACGGTAACTGTGTGAAACCTATAAAGCCTGAACGTGCCAGAATTGTGAAATGAGGTTTTATTGTGGATATTTTTTCCTTTAATCTATGGCTTTTATTTTAGTTTTAATACATAATGAAAGTATATTAACTACAATAATTACATGAACATTTATTAACAAAACATGTTTTTGTATTTAAAAAATATAGTTTTATAAATGTGGAATAATAAGAGAAAATTGGAAACTGGTGTCTAAACTTTTGAGCTACCAATTAATTATGTCGTTCTAGTTCAAAAGAATACCGTGTGGTTAAGGCACTGGCTTTTTAAACGTGAGGGTCATACGTGGGTCAAGGCAGGTCTTGAGCAAGCATGGTGGTATTACCCATGTGAGAATATCAATTCACTTTAACTATTTTAACCAAAAGCACTGGATCAAATCTCCTCAAAATGGTCTCCTGATGTATACACACTTCATATACCACCACAATCCACAAATGGGCATGGTTCTCCCACAATCTCAAGTGTCGGTATGACCGAAGTGATACCACCACCTCGCAAGAAACCGGCGTAAAATAATCATAGTGTTTTTACCGTGTGACTGAGGTTGCCGGAGTTTCAATCCTTCTTACCCTTCCCCAATCTCGAAATCTACGCTTACCATTTGCGTTACCATCAGGTAATCCGTATGCTTCTTTGCCGTCTTATCATATAACAAAAAAAAATACAAATTTGTTCCTTAAGTAGAACCGGTGATATGGTAAAAACCGTGCGACAATGTGTTACCTAGCCACCGCTCACACCGTATAGGCTGCTGTAGCTAAGAGATTCGCTACCATGCTACATGTCGTAGGATCATAAATTACGAAATAAAAACCAATAAAAGTCACTTGCAATGTATAAATAAATTTAAGTACTTCTTTTTAATTGTTTCAATCACGTAAGTGCTTGCCTTACTGAGACCGATGTCTCAATAGTACTTACCTGAGACCGATGTCTCAATAATAAGGTTAAAACAAATTTTGCAAGAGAATCTATAATAAAATAAAAATATTGCAAGTTTAGAGACGATTAAAAGTTTGTTGGTATTTAATTTCTGAGAGTCGTGAAAGTGTAAACAATATCAAAGTTTACTTAATAGTTACTCATTTCGAATATACTATAATAATTCTTTTTAATATATAATACTAATGAAGTGTAATAGTTCATTTAAAAAACAATACATACAATTCCGTAACTATGAACCATCTTTAATTTATTTTTATCAAGTGCAGCCTTACTTCGACACGAATGGGCCGGCTCGACCGTAGTAGATATATCACGGATTCACAGAATATTGGCGTGAAACAATGCTTACTTACTGTGTTTTGACGTGTTTTTTTTATGTAATAGGTCGGCAAAGGATCTGACGGATTACCTGAGGGTAAGCAATCAGCGCCGCCCATGGACACCAGCACTCGCAACGGAGGAGTTACAAGTGTGTTGCCGACCTTTTTAGAGATTTAGGGATTAAGGAGGGATTGAAGGAGGGGAAGGATAGGGCCTCCGGTAACCTCACTCAAACGGCGAAACACAACGCTTTGGTTGTTTCACGCCGGTTTTCTGTGAGGCCGTGGTATCACTCTGGTCGAGCCGACCCATTCGTGCCGAAGCATGACTCTCCCACACTTAGTGTGACACACTCTGGTACCACCATGTTGGTATCCATGGGCGGCGCTGATCACTTACCATCAGTTGATCCGTATGCTCGTTTGCTTCCTATTCCATAAAAAATAGTTATTAATATTGAGATATATAGACCGAAGAATTCATAGCAAAAACTGCTTTCTTTACCGAGACAGTGAGTTTTTTGAGACAGCATTATCCTCGTTATTTTATAATCTAGGTCGGAGCTAGTTAAAATTCAAAGTATCACACAATTTTGTCACAAGACGTCGAGGAGCACTTTCATATAATTGAACTTAAACCGGCAAGGGATTCATTTTTATAAAATTTTAAAGAAGACCTGAGTGTTATTAGTATTTTGGTATCAAAAATATAAAATACCTAATATGTGTAAAGAATAATAATAATGTGGAAAGAAGAAAAAGAAGTGGATTGGAAAATAATGAAAATGACAAAATAAAAAACTTTTTGTAATTACATTATGAATTCTTCATAATGTAATTTCAGATCCAATTTCAGATCATTTTTTTTTCCAATCCACTTCTTTCTTCTTTCCACGTTACTGCACGGTTGGCGCGGTGGCTGGGCAACTGGCTGCCGCGTAACGTGTCGCGGGTTCGATTCCCGCACAGAACAACTCTTTGTGTGATCTACAGATTGTTGTTTCGGGTCTGGGTGTAATGTGCATGTGAAATTGTATATTTGTAAACGCACCCACGACACAGGATAAAATCCTTGTGTGGGGCAACGAACAGCAATTTTTGGATCACAAAAGGAGGTGCTTCGCACAGTAACCATCATGAACCAGCGGCTAACTTAAGAACAATTATTGGAAAACATACACCGCTCCATTTATATACATCATCACCACTTACAGAAACCCCACAGCCATAAAAAGAGCAACAAAATAATAAATAAAATAAAACCTCCAAAACCGCATAAACGAAATCACTTCAAAATATCGAACGTTTACCGAACATTTTCATCTAGCCCCATATTCCCATTGCGGGCGCAGTCGATACCCGAGCTTATTGTCGACAAAATTGATTCCGTACAGAACCCCGATCTCATTTGTGATGTTATTTTATCAAATCCATTTGTAAACACGCTGTATGTAATTGAGGAGTCGAATCGCGAGCCGTGTTCCACGAACAGACCTTTTAAATGTGTCGGAAGAATACTGAATTGATTATAATGTATGGTTTTAATTATAAGATGAGTTCTCTGTGTATTTTAGGAAGGTTATGTTGAAGGAGTATTCGTTATTACGTCACTTTGTGAGTTTTAACAGGAAATTCAAATCTTGCTCGTTCTTCTCCATCGGAATCTACACTTTGGAACGAGCAAATAGCTTCACTAAGAGGACTGACCAACAGACTGACACTATATCTTCAAAATTTTGTTTGACGTTCAAAAGTGACTGTAATTGGAATAAATGATTTTTGACTTTTTTTTTACTTTTTTTGACTTTTGTGCTTTGAGTAGTTGTTTAACTGAATAATATCAATTAACTGTTCTCTTATTTCTTGAGACAGGTGACGAATGAGCAGAAGGACCAACAAAACCAATCACACCAAAGGAGTTGGTTGTCAACTGACCTGTTACGAGTTAGGAACGGTGGAGAATATTTATGCTATAATAATAACTTCACTTACGAGGCGGAACACAAACACGAGCGTGGTTTGACGTATACCTTAAATTTTTAAAAAAAGACTTACTCACGTGAATCGACTGAGAAAAGCTCTACTAGTTTCAAGTCCCAACGGGACTCTTATTCGTGAGCATCGTGCGCGTCGTCACGTGAGTAAGTCGTTATTTTTAATACATTTAGTACTAGCTACTCTCGCACGGTTTCACCCGCTGCTCGACTCCATTGAGTCGTAGCGTGATGTTTTATAGCCTATAGCACTCAGGAACATTGTAGCTATCTATCAGTGAAAGAATTTTGGCAATCCCACCAGCGGTTCCAAAGATTACCCCCTACATACAATAAACTTACAAATTTTACCTCTTTATAATATTAGTATAGATGTAGATGTCTCACGGCTATGACTTACTATTGAAAAATATAATAAGACAATTATAATTATGTGTATAAAAATATTTATGAAGGTAAAACAAAAATTAGAATTTAAAAATAAGCATCTCATTTTGCTAAGATATAAGATAGATGTACTTTACGAAGCACTAGTTATAAATACATTTGAAATATTAGTCGACATAATTAAATGCACATCATTTCAATGAAACTTCTTGGAACTTTGAACTTTGTGCTTCAGACTGTACTAAAGGGATCAAAGCGTACACTTTTAATTTTCGTCTTTTCGAAGTTATCTTTAAAAACTCTGTCACTCAAATTAATGAGACTGACAAGTGGTCGCGGGGTTTCTTTCACTCAACTTATATCAGATAAGCCATTTTTGTGATGCAGCTTGTAATTTGTTTTCTTTAGTATCGTGTAAGTTTGAATGTGGTGAGTGGATTTACAAATTAATAAAGAAATGCACATCACACTCCGACCCTGAACGTCAATTTATAAATTACACAGCGTTGTTTTGTGTAGGAACCGAAACAGAGAAAGGTTGCATAGTAGTCAGTAGCTCAGCCACCGCGTCAACTGTGTAGTCATTTTTTACTACAGGATGTATACTTAATCATAATAACTACAACTGCGAGAAATATTTCATGTTTTATTGATTTTTAAATTTTTGATGTTCCTTTTTTTGACAGAGGAAAATCATCACATTACTTCGCCCACCCAGGGTAAGGCGAGAGAGAGAGAGAGAGAGAGAGAGAGAGAGAGAGAGAGAGAGAGAGAGAGAGTCAGATCCTTACTGACTAAACCCGTACCTTCTCCTGCTTTAGGCCGAAACCGCAGTGCCACACTGCTCTTTGAAGCGCGCGAATGTCCCTGTGTATAAACAAATAGTACAAAATCAAATAATAGAAACACAAGAAATTTGATCTATTCATAATGTGACGGTCTAGTGAATTTTTTTTTTGGGCTCTACCTACAAAAATTACAGGGACCTTACACACTTTTTTATCTCAAGGTCAAAAATGATTTACATATTTCAATTAGTTACTTTTGAACATCAAACAAAGCTTAAAGATAAAAAGTGTCAGTCCGTCGCCCAGTCCTCTTAGTAAAGCTATTTGCTCGTTCCAAAGGATAGATTTCTATGGAGAACGAGACACTCTCTGTAAGCAAGAATCTTCATGCATCCATCACATTCATTCTTGCTGCTTTAAATTCCTTAATTAATTTCAACCAATGGCTATTCAGCTTGTTGCGCTGCAACCAACATATTTGTTGGTTGCAGCGCAACAAGCCAGTGTATGTATATCAAACTCAATTAATTAATTTTGTATCAACAAATCTCATCAAGGCAGCTGAGTCCAACACAATATATTGCATACAACAACCAATTAGCACTAAATTAATATACCTACATATATTTCTCAGCGGTATATTACCTGACAATCGTAGTACAGTTAGTCAGGTTAGTTAATAACATCTATCGTCATCAGCCTATATGTGCTCATTGCTTGGCAAAGGAACTCAAACCTTCTCACACGGAGAAGATTTGCCTATTTAAAAAAATACAGCCGCAACTCAAAAATATTTGTTGAAATATGAGAAATAATAATGTAGAATTTTCATTCCATATAAACCCTACGTAATATCCATTGCTATTCTTGTCACAGAACATAATAAAGATTTGAACTATTACCAGAGCGCAGAGCAAAGAACTTTATGTCAACTGCAGATACAGTGTGATGTTAAAGTTACAATGGTTTTAAATTTTATATCATTGTAATAAAATAGAGAAACACTAAAATGTATTTTATTTCTTCATTTATTTATTCGTTACAATGAATTTTGATGTTTGATGATGTATTTTTCTTAAACATCGCTATAAATCATCTTTCAAGCTGGTTGGGTTTTATGAAAAACTGTTGGTACAAGGTGCGTTCTAAAGAATCTTTACGTAATATAAAGTTAAATATGACGATGCCGTGCAACGTGTCACAGATTAAATTCACGCACGGAACAAATATTTTTGTGATCCACAAATTGTTGTTTCTTGTCTGGATGTCATGTGTATGTGTTTATAAAAGCATGTCTGTCTGTAAAACTGTAAACGCAACCATGCCACTGGAGAAAATCATAGGTGTGAAGGCAACAACAATTCATTTAAATGTGTTGAAATCATTATTTACAATCATGTGTGCTAAAAAAAAGACAATAACAAAATAAAACACTATATTTTTATTTGACAACATCACCCTGTGGTGACACGATAGCTCCGCGACTAATATAGCCCAAGAGACAGGTTCTATGCACAAATGAAATAACAGCGAGCACCAACGGTACAGGGATTAGGTCTGATTAAATCGTACCGATTACAGTCTTAATCTAGGCAGACAATCTTTATTCGTTCTGGACACTAATTGAAAAGTGGCTTGATAGTTTAATATCGTATTTATTTAACATTCTGAAGATTAACTTTGATTTATGTTGTGACGTATTAAATGCTTTTTTGTTGATTGATTTCATGAGTTAGTACGTTACTTAGGGACAGTTACAACCTTAATATACATAACGTATATTAACGGCTGATTTTTCAATGGTTAGATAAAGGTAAGTTTTCGGGGAATAATTATGATGCTGTCGCGTCAGAATGTTTGTATAGGTAAGACAGTGACAGCAACAATTTTATTCTTCAGACAACATTTATCTGACTCTTGAAAAATTAGTCCTAAGGTCAACAATTATAGTAATTTAATATTATTTAATATTGTCAAAATTTTATTTTTAATGTACGGTAAATACGGTAAACGCAAGACCGAGTAAAGTTTACGTGTATAAGTAGACTTATTGCCGTCTTTAGAGATGCTAAATGATTACTGAAAAAGACTCTGAGTACAACGGTCAAGATCAGGTAAAACATACATCAAAAATTACCTATTATTTCAAAAGACTGTAAAGTGAGGAGCACCCAGGTTTCGGCAAGAATGGGTCGGCTCAGTCGGATACCACGGCCTAATAGAAAATTGGCGTGAAACAACCAAAACGTTGTGTATCGCTGTGTGAGTGAGGTTACCGGAGGCTCAATCTTACCCCTCCCCTATTCCTTCGAAATCATTAAATCTCCGAAACACTAATCTCCGGCAATGCACTCGTAACGCCTATCTTTTTGCGGGTGTTTACAGTCGGCGCCGATAGCTTAAAATCAGGTAAACCGTCGACTTATTTACCGCCCTATAACATAAACAAAAAGAAACATGATCAATACAAACTTTTATAACCAATAAAACTACCCATTTGTAATTTATTTGTAAATCTTAATACTCTTTCATAACCTAAATAATAACACTATAAAAAATCTAATCGCATCTTTGCGACAGGTTAAACCGAGAAGACCCAAGGCGAAGGTGTTCAGTTCAAGACTTTACTACAATTTCCTAGTGACGATCAATCACTTAATTGCTACCTGCAAACCTATACCTTCAACGACCAAACCCACTAACTTACCTATCCATTGCCGCGGAACTAAGGACCACTTTTTCTTATAAAGGACCACAAAACTCAATGAATGGTGGTAATGGTGAAATAGTCGATAATTCTAAATGTTTTGGTAAGGGCACATGACCTGTGATGAATGGAGTTTGTTCTGTTTATTTTATGGATTGTGTGTAGATCCAGTGTGACCGCTGGCTCTGATCCACAGATAATACAGCTAAACAATGGCTTGTCACAACAAAAAAATACTGAATTTTTTTCATTATTCTCGCAATATGTATAAAATGCGAGCGATTCTAGGCCAATTCGTTGCGTATCGTTGATGATGGAAATAGCCTGTTGGGTTTTAAATAATGAGCGTAGTTCTACAACCACATAAGTGTTATAAAAGTGTGTTATAATTATGCAACTGACACCTACAGCTAGGTAGAAAACTTCTTTTTTAATACCTACTCATGTCAGTCATAGTACTTTTATCAAACGAGTTTTTGTGTGTATGCGTTCAATAAAACATGTATAAATATATAATATAGTATACATACCTAGATAAACGCCAGCTCTCAGAGACCTCTTGCTAACAACATGGGTAAAGAATACAAGGCCTTTTTTTTGTACGGGTAAAATCGTCAATTGACTTTACACCCATTTACATTATTGCTCTTAACACACAACCAAGAAAGCTATCGAAGACTGTGGTATTATTAATGTCTGAAAGAAAAATTAAAACACGATATTTCTATTATTACTTTAAAAAACAATACCAGTTTTGTAATTAACACGTAATTAAACTCAGTTCTATAGTTTGTAATGGTAAAGCAATTAATTGCGAAGTAATTGCAGTTTTAAATTAGTTTTTACTATTTTTGCACGTTATAAATTGCATTACGCTGACAGGTGATGCGTGTTTGTCAGTATGGATTAGGTCATGTATGTATTAAACCAGTTTTTTTTACAGTAAACAACATACCAATCCAAGTTTATCATCTATGGTAATATTCTGATTTCAAAAATTCTTTCACTGATAGATAGCTACATAGTTCTTGAGTGTTATCCAAACTATAATATTATAAATTCGAAAGTCACTCTGTCTGTCTTTTCTTCATGCCTAAACTACTGAACCTGTGAAATTTGATACATACATAGTTAGGAACTCGAGCAAATTACTATTCCACGCGAACAAGTCGCTGGCAAAAGCTAGTAGGCTATATAACGTCACCCTACGACCAATAGGAGCTGAGCAGGTGAAACCGCGTGGTAATAGCTAGTTGGAACATATTCAGCATTATTATTTTAAATAGTATGTTTCCGCGATTGAAAGGTTAAAGATTTTTAACTTTTTTGGAGGGGAAACATCATCATTTGACTTCTCACACTCAGGGTGAGGCGGAAGGGAGTGTCAGACTCTTACTGACTGAACCCCCCCCCCCCCCCCCCCCCCCCCGTTCCTTATCCTGCTCTGGGCCGAGGTCGCGGTGACTCATTGCTCTAGCCCGCAACCCCGGCTAAATATCAGCTCTATAGGGCCCGTCTGTGGTGGTCTATTGGAACTTTGAGGCGCGCGCGGAACGCTACGCGCCGTACGCTCGGGCCTAGTTCTGGTCGGGCGGCGAGCTACCCTTACTCGCCGTCCACAGACCTACGCTTACGGTGGCCGGAGATCTTCTCTCGAACCCATATGAGGCTGCTGTTTAGTCTAGCGAACACCATTAACATACACGTTCAAAATCCTATTACAGTAATAAGTACAGATTCATTCTTGCCGAAACGTGGCTCTCCCACACTTACATTCCACCGTACATACATACTATTTACTAAATTCAAAGTAAATATAGAGTTTTAAGTATTAACATAACAAATACAGCAAAGGGAAAACACTGCAACGGACTTCGCGAGCCAGCATCGCATTAAAAATGAACAAGAAAACAAGACCCAGATACAAAAGCCTTCCTAATAGACTGTTATATTTTATAAGCTCCCACTCTAAATTATATGTTACCTAGATACAAGGTATAAAATAAAAATAATAGTTTTCTCTCCGCCATTTTGCTCAACACAATTCATAATATTTATTTTTTGATGAGAATGAGTTGTAACATACGAAGTAAAATGTCTGTAACAAAATTTCAACCTTTTTATTTCGTTTCATAGAGTCGAAAGTCCAATATTAATCTTTGACAGTTAAGGGTAACTTTTCATGTGAGTATACATGAAGCTATGTAAATCCAGTATAAACTGGGCGTTGAATATGCAGAAAGATTATACAAAGCGAGGCAATGATATACTGGTTGGATATAGCTTGATATGCAGCAAAAGTACATGACTTTCCCTTATATGTAACGGTTATTTGGAACATTTGAAAGAGTTTTATACATTTATATATTCTATTTGGAACAGTTATGAGTTTTGTTGTTATTTCACAACCTTTATGTCGAGTTTTCTTTGTGATATTTATTCACTTTTACATTAGCTATTTGCTTGAGTTGAAAAATAATTTCAAACAACTTTTTAATGCAGAAAGACATTAAGAAAGAAAAGAATTTATATTTTCAAGCAGATTTTGAAGAATTGAATAATTTTTGACTCAGAAATACTTAAAAAGACGTTAATATGACGATGTTTAGTATTGATTTTTTTACTAGCTATCAGCTGACCAATTATTTTGTTCTAGTCTAGCAAATAGTACTGTAATACAAGATTACCTTATTTCTACATTTTAAAACAAAAAAAAAATCAACCGGTGTAACTTCACGTAGCATTTCCGACGTTTGGCTCTCAAGTTGGAACGGACTGGGGCCGCGCTCAAACGGCTCCTTTCCAAATTGGGGGAGCCAAACACCTCCTACCGGAGGTTGTATATGGGAATCGTGCGGCCTTCTAAGGGGCCCCTGTGTAGACGGACTTGAGGTGGCGACCAGTTCGTACGCTGATCGCTTCCTAGAGGGTCATTTTCCTTTCGAGGATTAGGGTTTCCGAAATTTTGACCTCTAGTAAGCTCACTCACACGGCGAAACACAGCGCTGGTTGTTCTACACCGGTTTTCTATGAGGCTGTGGTATTACTCCGGTTGAGCCGACTCATTCGTGCCGAAGCTTGGATCTCTCATATTTATAGTGTGCTTTTGTTTTAAATCTTATGTTATATTGACAAGCATATACAATTTATAACACTAAGCTATAATGCAATCGATTTTAATTTAATCTTATAAGCGTTTTGAACCACATCTGTCAGCTTGTAAGACCAAATGATTTAATAAATAAATAAAAGAGAAACGAGCACTTTGACAGCCATACCATCGAAATATAGCCAAGAAATGTAGATACTACAAATATTTCGATATAAAAATATAAAGTAAACACGGTCTGTTTGTATGTTTGCGGCACTTGTAACAGTTGAGTGAGGAAGGCGTGCGACATTGTATTTATAATGGAAGGACATATTGACACTGCCAACTATTTCCCTTTCCCATGTACCGAAAGTGTTATTTTTATATCTTGTATTGTACTTATTGGTATTTTTGGCGAACATATATCGAACATCCGCATCTTTTTTCGGATATCTTCAGGTTATTTTTGTTCGAAGAAAACCGATAACAAATATGACATTGAAAAGAATGAATACAAATATGTTTAAGGCATTTTCGTATGTATGTACATATGTAATAAAAGTCTACTGCTATACAATGGGCAAGACTCCATGTAAAATTAAAAATCTTAAAAACTAAAATTTTCATTAACATTTTGTTTATATAAAATTTATTGTACACTATGCAAAAAGATACAAATTTAAAATAAAATAGAATATGTACATGCGATCATATGACACTATGCGGTTTCTTACAGATAATCTTTAGATGGGGCTTGTAATCATGAATCGAGAAATAGGGTCGTCAAGTGTACAATAGTGATAATTCTTTTTTTTTATGTAATATGTCGGCAAACGAGCAGACGGATTACCTGATGGTAAGCAATCAGCGCCGCCCATGGACACTCGCAACGGAGGAGTTACGAGTGCGTTGCCGACCTTTTAGGGATTAGGGATTTGGAGATTTAGGGATTGAGGAGGGATTGGGGAAGGGGAAGGATTGGGCCTTCGGTAACCTCACTCACACGGCGAAACACAACGCAGTGGTTATTTCACGCCGGTTTTCAGTGAGGCCGTGGTATCACTCCGTACAATTATCAATTCATACGAGTACCAATAGGTACTGAATAAACACTACATAAACACGGTCACGGTTTAACTGTAAGAGAGCCAAGCTTCGGAGCGAATAGGTCGGCTCGACCGGAGTGATACCACGGCCTCACATAATACCGGCGTGAAACAACCCACAGCGTTGTGTTTTGCCGTGTGAGTGAGGTTACCGGAGGCCCAATCCCTCCCCTTCCCCTATCCCCTTCCCAATCCTTATATCCGCAACCCCTTTCCCTGAAAGGCCGGTAACGCACTCGTAACTCCTTTGGTGATGCGGGTGTCCATGGGCGGCGCCGATTGCTTACCATCAAGTAATCCGTCAGCTCGTTTGCCGACTTATACCATAAAAAAAAATCTTAGATGATGCATAAAATTAAACCAACTAAACACCACACACAAGCCATTTTATTCCATAGAAAAACAGTGGTTGTTTGTTGAAGCACAATACATATTAGATTCATTGTATTTAAATAACCAACCACTTCAAGACTAACGCCAAACATCAAAGACCCTCTCGACCTAAATGAAAATGTCAAAATCAAAATAACAATTATAAAACAACAAAAATTCAACCTATTTATCAAACTCAACGACCCCTTGACTTGCGTCGAGAAGGAAACAGTTCTTACATTAAATTCTGAAATCTGAACAAATGACTGGGCACTGAAAACAATAGGCCATTTGTCTTGTAAACAAATTGGCTGAATCAAGTGCTACGGGCTACAAGGCTGTATTCGGGTGGCGTATAATTTGTAGATGTTTCAGAATACTGATGATACAAAGTATTTTATTTTCAGCATATGATTGCTAAGGAGGTTTTGTATCATTA